CGGCTTGGAGGGATCAGGAATCCGGACATAGCTAATCCTTAAGATAGATGAAGGGTCGCCGCACTGTCCCTCTACCACGGCAACGTGATGGGTGACCTGGGGAGAGTTAATCTCTCTCAGATCGGGTTTAGGCCCAATCTGTTCGTAATCCGTAGCGACTCCCAGGCGGCGATGCGATCCAAGAGCTCGTTTAGGGAAGAGAGCTCCATTGGATCTAGCTGCTCGGCGAATTCCGAGTTGACGTGAAGATTGTTTTTGATGACCCGAGAGGTCATCGTCGGCGCAGCAGTCGAACAGCGGTCATAAGGAAACCACCTAGCCGGAGAGTTTGGCCGACAGCCAAAGCTCCCTTAGCAACGGTGCCGTCTTTAAAGACGGGATGAGGCATCCTTCCTGATGGCGATGGCACAGAGGAACTCTCAATGAAAGCACCAATGTCGGTGTCAAAATCGGCGGATCTCGGGTAGGGGGTCCCGAACTGTGCGTCTAGGCGGATGGTAACAGGAGGCAGGGGACACAATGTTTTACCCAGGTTCGGGCCCTCTTGATGGAGGTAAAACCCTACGTCCTGCTTGATTAATATTGATGATATGGGTAGTACAAGAGTAGATCTACCGCGAGATCAGAGAGGCTAAATCCTAGAAGCTAGCCTATGGTATGATTGTATGTTCCTACGGATTAAAACCCTACGGTTTATATAGACACAGAAGAGGGCTAGGGTTACACAGAGTCGGTTACAATGGTAGTAGATCTACATATCCGTATCGCCAAGCTTGCTTTCCACGCCAAGGAAAGTCCCTTCCGGACACGGGATGAAGTCTTCAATCTTGTATCTTCATAGTCCAGGAGTCCAGCCGAAGGTATAGTCCGGCTATCCGGACACCCCCTAATCTAGGAAGCCACTAGGGCCACCGTATTCTCCTCACGCCCTCACACAATGCGAGATGCTGTGATTCTGATTCCACTATTGGTGCCCTTGGAGGCGGCAACCGAACCTTTACAAAAAGGTTTGGGTAATCTCCACAACTTAATTAGAGGCTCCCAATGACACCACGAAGATTCACCACAATGGAATATGGCTCCGCGGTGACCTCAACTGTCTAGGGTGCTCAAACACCCAAGAGTAACAAGATCCGCAAAGGATTAGTGTGGGGAATCAATTTTTTTGGGTGAAAGTGTAGATCGGGGTCTTTTCAATCAATCCCTAGAAAATCAACAAGTTTAATTGGATAGGAAGAGAGATCGAGCGAAAATGGAGCTTAGAGCAACAATGAATCTTAGTGAAGGAAGAGGTAGTCAACTTGGGGAAGAAGCATCCCTTATATAGTGTGAAGAAAAATCCAACCGTTACTCACCTACTCAGCCCACGACATGCGGTATTTGCATTTCCCTTCCGCCGCGGCCGAGTGCTCTGCTCTGATTCTCCATCATCCCTTAATTTCTGTGGGAATCAATCCTCATGAGCCCACAAGGCCACACCCCGCACGCTGCAGAAGCCGATGAACCTCACGGAGCCACCGCCCTCGCCAAGGCGCGATCCAGCACCACCTTTATCACGCCGTCATCAAGTGGTTGAGTCCCCTGGAGAGGCGTGCTATGTTTAGACACCAATCTCTCTCTCTCTCTCTCTCCCACTATCTTCGCATTAGATGCAGGGCAGTCCGGTATAGCCAGCATGGGAAGGCAGCATCGATTGATTCAGCGGGGAGCAGGGTAACTTTTAGAGAAAAGTATACTTTTCATCCCTTAATTCTTGGCGAAGTCTAGATTTGCTCCCTCAACTTCAAAACCGGACAACTTGCGCCCTTAACTACTGAAACCGGCCAAGATTCATCCCTAGTCACAGTTTTGACCGGTTTTGGTGCTGTCCCAACCCGGTTTTGGCCGTGCTGACTCAAATTCGCATACCTTTTCCAAGTCCGTTTAATGTTTTCAAATTCGGGTATTTTTTTCAAATACGTGAACTTTTTAAAAATTTGTGTACTTTTCCAAATCTGCGTACTTTTTCCAAGTTCACGTACTTTTTTTTAAATCCACGTACTTCTTTAAAGTTCCTGTGATTTTTTTAAATTTATGTAATTTTTAAAAATTGACATACTTATTCCTATTCACGTATATTTTTTTGGGTTTGAAAATTTTATGTGAAATTGAAAACGTATGCGGTTTTGAATATCTTTTACGCGAATTAGAAAAAAATGTGTGGATTTGAAAATTTATGTCAAGTTGAAACAAGTATGTGAATTTCAAACAAAGTTCATGGATTTGAAAGGAACACGGATTTGAAAAAAATACACGAACTTTAAAAAGTATGCGGATTTGAAACAAGTACGCGAATTTAAAAAACAGATGGATTTGAAAAAAAAATACTTGGATTCGATAAAATTACATGAAGTTGAAAAAATACACTGATTTGAGAAAATTACGCAAATTAAAAAAATCATGGATTTGAAAAGGTACACAAATTTCAAAATAGTTCACAGATTTGAAAAAGGTATGTTTATTTTTGAAAAAATTGCACGACCTTGAAAAACTATGTGGATTTGAAAAGAGTACGTGAATTGTAAAAAGTTCACGGATATGAAAAAATTACGCGAATTTTAGTCGGCATCGGTCAAAACCGGGGTCAGTCAGCACCAAAACCGGTCAAAATCGAGACCAGGGACAAACCTTGTCCGGTTTCGTTAGTTGGGGGTGCAAATTGTCCGGTTTCGGAGTTGAGGGACCAAATCTAGACTTCACCAAGAATTGAGTGACGAAAAGTATACTCTTCTCTAATTTTTATATGGATTCCTGTGGAAAGACAGAGAGGGGCTAGCTGATCTCGACCGGTGTCACCCAAGTGCAGGAAGGCTGCAGGTAAGGTGGTGGACAAGGACGACAGTGATTCAGTGGTTCTTGGCCTTGAGACGCCGGTAAGAAGAGGAGATGCGCCTGGCCCTGGGTGACTAAAAACATCAGTGAGTTCTTTTCTGATCATTTAACTAGTGGTGTATGCAGTTTGAGCTGGTGTCAGAATTATAACTTCAAACACTGATTTATCCCCGCTCATTGTGTTGCAGGTTATTTGTGCTTGTTCAGATCTTAGCTACCTACATAAACAGATATAACAAATTCAACTGATTGTCAGATTGAAAAAAGTACGTTACCAGTATCTTCTTGATTTGATTTGTACGTATGTTGTTCAAACATTCGGGGTAATAGCATAGCTGTCATCATCAAACTACTGGAAAAATTATTAGTTGAGCTAAATTGGGATAACGATATGTTATTTCCTGTTACTTGTTTAAATTCTGGTCCAAGAAAAATTCTTGATGGGTTGATTTCACATCTTCCGTGTTAAAACCAATACTGGTATTTAGAAGATACCTTTATTTTATGATGAATAATTTCAACGAGTTATGGTTATTGCGTGTTTTACCTTCATGCAGGTTCACTAGAAAAACTGATGGTTTGGACACAGTTAGTGAGGAAGGACATGCAGATTGACTTCAGCGGGGATTTTCCAGCTTCACACTGTAAGGATCTTTATCAGAGTGTTTTTGTTCACGTAAAGGTAGCAGCTCAAGCATAACATGGATTATTTTCCAATACCTTCTCGAAAAGTGGCAACAACCTTGATCAAGAAATAATCCTTCTTATTCCTTTTGTTTTTAGACATCGGGAAAACCATTGACAATACCTACCCTATTATTGTATTAGTGCTAGCCTCAAACTGAAGAGAAGATGGCCTGAATAGTTTAAGTACAACATGCTCACAGGTTGCCAAAGCCGGAACAACGTCGCGTGTATTCATCATCAACAAGTGATTTCTAGGTGTTTCCCATGTTGTAATTTTTTCTTGGTTTTCATGTATACTTTTTACTAATGCTTTAGTTGATGATTGTATATCTGGTCGAATGTACTTATGTGGTTCTGTTCCATTTCTTTTGTGTAATGAATTTAATTTTGCATTTCCAACGGATGTCAAATATATACTACTTTATGTTTGATTTTGAGCTCCAAGAATCAATGAGATTTATGGAGTGCAATGAAGTAAAAAAAGTATCACTACTGCTGTAACCTAATCTGGCAATGACCTGTATATATTGGAATGAATAATGGACTACCAAGTTTTTGTGTATAAAATGGTAATTCGAAGTCTGCATTCAGAAAGAAGAAATGGGAGCCGTTGAGAAAGAAGAAATGGGAGCCAATTTTTTTCATGTCGTAGTAAAACTTGATTTTCTACATGTCCCACTTTAATTTGAAAATTCTCACGGAACTTGAAACCTGAACCTAATAGTGAGTTATCGAGTTTGTGATACATCTGCTAGCATACTTGTTGACCCTGGTTCTACTCACTTTTGGTGTTGGGCAAGTTGAGTACTCCCTCTGTCCCAAAATATAAGGCGCGCTATTTTCGTGCTGGTGATGTTCGTCTTTCACCATATATACTGAGTTATATGCATCCAGAATTTATAAATGGCACTGTTGAATTCATCTTGCAAATTTCTTTCATTTCATATATCATGATGCTAATTTTGTGAACATATTATAAGTACAATTCACCAAAAGTTGTACGCATTGACCAGTGAAATGTAAGGACGCCTAATATTTTGGGATGGAGGAAGTACTAAGATTTGGCACAATTGTATATGTTTGAATCTTTTGCACATTTTGGAAGAAAGAAAAATAATATTCCCGCACACCACTGGGTGTTATCGAGCATATAGGTCAAGTTTTTGTAGATTTCATATTTGATGTTCATCGTGCATTGCACGTGCTTGATTACTAGTATGCTAAAAGGGAGACACTACAACATTGGCCATCTGCCCCTTATACAAATCTGCTGAAGAAGAAACCATGAAAGCACACTTTTTCTTCTACTCCCTCCTTCCCAAAATTCTTGTCTTAGATTTGTCTAGATACATCCGTATTTAGACAAATCTAAAACAAGAATTTTGAGACGAAGAGAGTACTATTTTTGTAGTAATACCTATTGGTCGAGGCTGAACATTTAGTTACATCCAGAATGTTGCATGAGAGAAATGACGAGTGTTCTTGGACACTGCATAGGACCTAGTGCCACGGCGACCCTTAGTTTGGAGCTCTCCCATGTGGTCATACATGAGGCCAAACAAGGTGACATGGAGCACAGTGTCGATGGCTTCCTTGCTGGATACGATGTTCTCGACGAGGCAAAACCTGCTATCGCCCATGTAGGTAAGAGTGACATCCTTGTGCCGGCCACCCTCCATGTAATGCTCCTCGTTGTTGCGGCGAAACAGCTTCTCCTTGAGCACCCTGCATTCCAACGGCCATTTGGTGGTGGCGCTGCGTGAGGCAACCTGACAGCAGCAAACATATCCAGCGCCCTTGCGATCCGTCCCAACCCATGCATTTAGCTCTGCGTCGAAGAAGGCTTGGCCTTTGAAGGGCAAAACCCAGTCGTCCCCAAGGCCTGTCCACACGCCGTTGCTCGTGTCCAAGGAGTGGGTTCCCTGCTTCCTTGTAGACATGAAGATGGTACGTCCGTCCGGGTGCAACGCGTAGCCGACGATGTCTACTCCGTTGAAGGGTGGCTGTGACTGCACTTTGTTCCAGGACCAATCCATGTATGGATCCCATATGTTGTCTGCGGCGACTCTGCGCCACGACAAGGCTTGCAAACATGGGAGATGAGGCAAGTCTGCGGTTGTCAAGACATATATCGTTTTGCCGACAGCTATGCTAGTCGCTAGGGGATCAATCCCACGTGGAAAACGCGGGCCCACGGTGAGGGCTGCGGTCTCCGTGTCGTAGATGACGGCTGGGGGAGCGTGGTCGCCGCGGTTATGCGGGTTGGTGTCGACCAAGATGTTGGTGCCCACGGCGGTGAACTCCATACGGCCACACATCGGCGTCTTTATCCGGATGGCAGCGTGCTCCAGAAGCTTGTGCTCTCCTCCGCCTCCTTGTGTATCCTCCAAGATGTCGTCGGCGTCAAGCTTGTGGATGCTGTACCCGCCCTCCCAGTCATCCACCGCCAGATAAAGGTGCTGCTTCCGCGGCAGCCTCTCGGCATGATCATTATGGGCGCTGATAGGCGCCGGTGCGCCGGCCGAAAGTTTCGGCCGGTCTAGCCCCGTCCGTTGGATGTGAGCCGCGCGGGTCGTTGGATCCAGGTAAAAAAAAACGAATCGCCCCCGGCTTCTTCTTCCTCGAGCACTCGGGCTGGATCCACATGCCTCGCTCAAGGAGCGCGGCGCCGCGCCTCTTGTCCCCTCCGGTGGCCGTCCTTGTCGCCGGCCCCCGTCGGTCTTCCTCATCACCGGTCCCCATCCCTTTCCAACCCCTCGTCGCCGGTCCCCATCCTCGCCGGCCGTTCACGCTTGCCCGAGATCCATGCTCGCCATGGATGCAGCTCCGCCGCCCGCGCTCCTCGGAGATCTACGCTCACCATGGATGCAGCTCCGCCGCCCGCGCTTGCCATGGATGCAGCTTCGCCGCCCACGCTCGCCATGGGTGGATCCCGCCCTCGCCGCCCGCGCACGCCATGGATGCAGCTCCGCATCGCTGGCGATTGACTGGTTCCAGCAAATAGAATTGCCCGTTGTAGCATTTTTCGTTATTTGTCGTAGCAGAATGGAGACACGGTTGCAGCAAAAAAGAAATGTCACCCTTTTCGCTGGTTGTAGCTCGTTGTTGTAGGTAGCAACATTTGCATGATGAACGGATGTAACAAAACCCGTTGCCGGACGTAGCAAGTACGTACGACGATTGCAACAAAAAGTCGTCATCGCCATCGCGGGTCGCAGCTCGGCCGTGTTGGATGTAGCAAAACATTATGCCGGTTGTAGCAAAACGCGATGCTAGTCGTAGCAAAACCACGACGCCGGCTGTGGTCGTAGCAAAACGTGACCCTAGCTGTAGCAAAATGCTATTGCCGGTTGTAGCAAAATCTATGCCGGTTGAAGCATGTAGCAAAACTGCAAAACGTTTTGTCATCTTCTTCCACCTCCAGCCGTCGCTGGTTGAAGCTTTTTCAAACTACAGTTGAAACTTTAATATGAATGATTGTAGCTTTTTTCTGTGCGCGGTATCCGGTTGAAGCTTAATATACCGCGGGTTGAAGCTTTTGAATCAAACGGTTGTAGCTTTTTGCATCGTCGATTGCAACATTGGGTGGAGGAACAAAAAAATGCTTTCAAGTTCGTTTGGGGAGAAGGTGGTTGCAGCGGTGGGGGAGGAGGTCGCTCCGCCATGGCTGTAGCATCTCCGGCGGACGGTTCCAGCACAAAGGAACTGTGAGCAGCAGTTCGCGGACAGCATATCCATGGCGAATTCCAACTCTGTCTCGCCGGGGCGGAACCTGCAGCCAGGGGCAACAAAGGGGGTTGGAATGGGCTGAGGTTGGAGATAGGGATCTGCGCGGGACTGGAGCTAGCCGCCGGCGGGATTTGAAGGAGAAAGACGAAGGGCTGGCCGCCAGCATGCGTGGCTGCGGCTGAGATAGAGAGAGAAAGAGAAGGGGATCGGGAGGAGGAAGAAGGTTGGGCAGGAGGTGAGCAGAGACGTATGATGGGCCTGGATCGCTTGGCTCGCGCGTGACCGGCCCGAGAAGAGGATAGAGGAAAGACGACTGTGTGCGGGCCCTTGTGCTGCGTGGTGTCCGCGTGGGCGAGCGACCGGCCGAGCGTTCGGCCGGTGCGCCGATCCCAAACGTTTACCGATCATTATTCCGTCGCCGCCGCTTAGACGACGAGCACGAGGACCTCTCATCCAAACTGCCGCCCATCACGTCCACAAGAAATTTCTTTCCCAACAAGGATTTCTACTCATCCAGTCGAAATCGAAAGCCTACTGATTGAAGCGGTCGGAGATTGGTTTATATAGAGGCTGGCTGGGAGGGAAGAGTTCGAGTCGGAATCTACGACGGAAACTGATTCCAAGTCGGTTCGGCTTGCCACCACTAGCTACTCCGTCAGCGACAAAGCAGGAGGCGGTTTTGAATCCGGAAAAACTAACGCCCACGGCAACTTGCACATGGCTCACACCGTTCGTTACGACGGCTCCGCTGTCACGAACGATTTCGTTAGGGTGGAATTGCCCAAATCACGAACGCCCTCCCCCAAGGCCCTTACATGGCCTTTTCCCTATAAAAACGAAAAGAAAAAAAAACATTTTGTTTTCTTTTTCTGGGAAAAAACAAAAAAAATGCTTGAAAGCAGAAAAATGACATGAAAATTGCCGTGGCGTATGGACATTAAAATATGAGCTAAAAATTGCCATGGCATATGGACATTAAAATTTTCCATGGTATTTTAAGTAAAATTGCCATGCTTGTATAAAGAAATTTGTCATGCATATAAGCATAACACAAATCATCACCAGAAAATGCAAAATGATATATGTATATTAAAAATATATGAAATAAATTTGCCATGGCCACAGTTTAAAAAAATTCACATGGTCCATGCACTAGAAAATGCCATGATGCATAAGATAAATTTGCCATGAGCCCATGACCGTCAACTAAATTTGCCATCGTCCCATAAAAAGTAGATAATTGTACTATGTTCAGGAGATAAAAAGTGTCCATGGCCAATTACTATTTTTGCCATGATCCGTTAAACTAAATTTTTCATGGCAAAATTTCGACATGTATGTTAAACGTAAATTTGCCATGGAAAAGTACAAATTGCCATGTCAATAAAAGATAAAATTTGCCATGGCGATTTAGGTAAATTTGCCATGTCAAGGTGAATCTGGCATGGCAAAATAGAAAATTAAAATTTCCATGTCATGCTACAACTAAATGATGGCAAATGCACATATCGTGTTGGGATGCATTTTTTGGAGTACTAATCACAAATCAAGTTGATGAATTTTGTTCACAGCATGGCAAGTTCATATCTGGTCACATGGCAAATTCATTAAAAAAACATTCTGTTATCACAAAAAAAAGCATGGTAAAAGTGTATAAAATCTTTGAAATGTCCACATGGCAAAACTATGAAAATTTTCGGACCTGTTACATGGGCAAAATTATGTACTCCAAGACATGGAAAAATTTATGCATATTCGGTGTACAAAAGACACGGAAAATTTATGCATTTTTATCCACTAACTGAAAATTGCCATGGCAAAATAGAAAATTAAAATTTCCATGTCATGCTACAACTAAATGATGGCAAATGCACATATCGTGTTGGAATGCATTTTTTGGAGTACTAATCACAAATCAAGTTGATGAATTTTGTTCACAGCATGGCAAATTCATTAAAAAACATTCTGCTTTCCCAAAAAAAAGCATGGAAAAGTGTATAAAATCTTTGAAATGTCCACATGGCAAAACTATGAAATTTTTCGGACCTGTTACATGGGCAAAATTATGTACTCCAAGACATGGAAAAATTTATGCATATTCGGTGTACAAAAGACACGGAAAATTTATGCATTTTTATCCACTAACTGAAAATTGCCATGGCAAAATAGAAAATTAAAATTTCCATGTCATGCTACAACTAAATGATGGCAAATGCACATATCGTGTTGGAATGCATTTTTTGGAGTACTAATCACAAATCAAGTTGATGAATTTTGTTCACAGCATGGCAAGTTCATATCTTGTCACATGGCAAATTCATTAAAAAACATTCTGTTTGCCCAAAAAAAAGCATGGTAAAAGTGTATAAATCTTTGAAATGTCCACATGGCAAAACTATGAAAATTTTCGGACCTGTTACATGGGCAAAATTATGTACTCCAAGACATGGAAAAATTTATGCATATTCGGTGTACAAAAGACACGGAAAATTTATGCATTTTTATCCACTAACTGAAAATTGCCATGGCAAAATAGAAAATTAAAATTTCCATGTCATGCTACAACTAAATGATGGCAAATGCACATATCGTGTTGGAATGCATTTTTTGGAGTACTAATCACAAATCAAGTTGATGAATTTTGTTCACAGCATGGCAAGTTCATATCTTGTCACATGGCAAATTCATTAAAAAACATTCTGTTTCCCCAAAAAAAAGCATGGTAAAAGTGTATAAAATCTTTGAAATGTCCACATGGCAAAACTATGAAAATTTTCGGACCTGTTACATGGGCAAAATTATGTACTCCAAGACATGGAAAAATTTATGCATATTCGGTGTACAAAAGACACGGAAAATTTATGCATTTTTATCCACTAACTGAAAATTGCCATGGCAAAATAGAAAATTAAAATTTTCCATGTCATGCTACAGCTAAATGATGGCAAATGCACATATCATGTTAGAATGCATTTTATGGAGTACTAATCACAAATCAAGTTTATGAAATTTGTTCAAAACATGGCAAGTTCATATCTGGTCACATGGCGAATTCACTAAAAAACCATTTTTTTTCCCAAAAAAGCATGGTAAAAGCGTATAAAATCTTTGAAATGTCCACATGGCAAAACTATGAAAATTTTCAGACCTGTCACATGGGCAAATTATGTACTACAGGACATGGAAAAATTTGTGCATATTTGGTGTACAAAAGACATGGAAAATTTATGCATTTTATCCACTAAATGGAAATTGCCATGGGAAAATGAAGGTATATTTGGCATGAAGAATGAGAAGTAAAAATTTCCATGAATAATAAGTAAAATTTGCCATCCATGCATAAGTAAAATTTCCGTGGCAAATGAAAGTTAAAATTTGCCATGGCAAAAATAATAAACAATAACTTGCCATGGCAATAAAAAGGTGAATTTGCTGTGGGCTTTGAAAGTAAATTTCCCATGGCTATACAAGTTAATTTGCCATGGACTATAAAATAAATTTGCCATGGGCTATCAAATTAAATTTCCATGGGATTTAAAAGTTAGTTTTCCCATGGTTGTACAAGTTAATTTGCCATGTACTATAAACTAAATTTGCCATGTGGTATGAAATTAAATTGACATGGCTATAAAAGTTAAAAATTTGTCATGCTTTTTGTCATGGCAGATTGATAATAAAATTTACCATCGCATTTTAATAAAAAAATTCATGGTTGTATGAGAAATTTGTCGTGTGTGTAAAAGAAGAACAAATTATGAACAAAGAATTGCCATGGTAGATTTATAATAAAAATTGCCATGGTTTTCTAATTAAAATTTCCATGGTTGTATGAGAAATTTGCCATGTGTGTAAAAAAATAACAAATTATGAACAAAGAGCCATGGCAAAAGTTAATTTTGCAGTGGTAAGTAATGTAAATTTGCCATGGCAAAAACATGTTGCCATGGTTAGTTGAGAAAAAAATGTTTTCTTGGCATGTAAGAACTTAGAAAAGAATGTTGTCTATCTTTAGGATCTAAAAATTGCCATGATGGTAAAATTAGTATAGATTTGTTGCCATGCTGCCAAAATGAAGACCTGGAAAAGCATGCTCCCAAGTATATCAAGAATGTCATTCCTCTGCAATTTCAACATTGTTTTGCCAAGGCAACTACTGTTGCATGTTTTGCCATATTTTCAACTTGTTTTACCATGATGTCAACAAGAATTAGCCATGGGAACTACTAAAATCTGAAGAGTATAGGTTTTCAACATGATTAGTAGTATACAGCTGCTGCTACATACTGTCTAATTAAAGCAGATTCGTTCATTAGCCACTTATAATCTATCATCCACCAAACTCTTCAGTGCATCAATAATAGTGTGGTGAAAACTAAACAACAATCCAGGTGCTTATTGATAGTAGTATCTCAGTGTACACGACTAATCAGGCAGACACACGCGCTAGTAGTTAATCATGGTTACTGCGTGAGCCGGACCTGCGCCGCGGTGGTGAGGTGCGGGAAGTCGTTGGCGATGAGGGGCCTCATGGGTCCACGTACCTCAGGTCGGCCGCCTTCCGAACCAGATCGACGAACTTTCCCTGCCCTGTTGCGATCCCAACCTGCATACCAAGCACCCACAAAAAGATCACATACAAAGTCAATAATGGCGCACTCATTTCCCAGATCAATCAATGGAGTAACTGGCCGGAGCATCGAACCTGGATGACGAGGAGGTTTGGAATGCGAAGGACCCGTCATACGTGACGCACCGCAGGGCCGCAACCTTCCGTGACGCCATTATTGAACGCGGCGAGGACGCCCGGCCGCACCGGAGGTGAGCAGCGTCGTCGATGGGGACCTCCCCGGAGGCGGGAGCGGAGTCGCCCGGAGCAGAGCCATCGACGGCTCACCTCGTTGGTGCGCGCGCGGGGCAGGGACTCACCACAGCCGGCATGACCAGCGCTTCGATGGGGACCTCCCCGGAGGCGGCGGCGCCTCGACCTCCTCGGCAGCCTCAGCGACCCGTGCACCGCGGATCCCCGACGAACGCCATCCCGCAGCACCGGCCACCGCCAAATCCGCAGGTCAGGCCACCAACGCCACGGCCCGGCAACGCCAGGATCTCGTCGAGATCGAACCCAAGGGGCGCGGCCGTGGCTACCTTCTCCGGGAGAGCCCAGTCCCTACGCCGTGCGCAGGCGTGGAGAGAGATGGGAGGGAGGTCAGGGAGGAGATGGGAAGGAGGAGAAGGAAGTAGAGGCAGGTGGAGCGCGGGGCGGCTCACCGGCGGCTTGCCTCACGACCAGCTGCCGGAGGAGGCGGCTGGAGATGGGAGAGGAGTAGGTGAGTTGGGGGTGGGGGATTGAGCGAGTGGAGGAGGTGGATGATAGGACTGGGTTCACGTTCGCGTCGACTGTTTGTTTCACCGAACGAGCTTCCTGGCTGACGTGTCCTCTCCGGTGTTTTGAGATTGGTGCAACTAATC